ATGCCCTTTGGTTCCAGTCAAGAAAAAGGCTGTGCTCACAGCCATGTGATGCTTCAGGATAAATGTGGAGCATTTCATTCCACAGCCCATAGAAGTCTTATAGTTCATGGTCTGGGTCACTTCTGTAGTTCTGTTCTTGTGCTGCAGGCAAGTCACTGAGGTTCACTCATACAGAGACAAGGTCCTACTTGGAGGCCAGTGCATAATGACTGAGGGCATCACTGGGTCCCATTGTGGAAATCACTGGGAAGCTCAGGTCCATCGGTCTAGCCTGCTGCCTGCAACAGTCTTCAGCTTTATCATCAGCTGGATCTTGGCCATGCTCCATTGTGAATGTCTTTCTCCAACCAGCTGGAGCATGCAGAGTGCAGTAGCATCTTCCTTGTGAGCCTGCCTCATGCCTTCAAGCTCTGCCGAGCTCTTGGCAGCTTGGTGATGCAGAGGGTTGTAAGGCAAACAGCAGCAGCAGCAGTCCTTCAGGGTGGACTCATTCATGGAGGACCTTCCCTGGTTGCTAACCCACATCTTCTCTTCCTGGGCCAGGCTGGCATTCAGGGCCCAGAGTTCCCTAAGGACAGATGCATGATTGATGAATTTACCCTGGGAAGGAAAATTTGCCTGAATATATGAAAACCAATAAATGTGTTACATTAGACTAACAGGATGAAAGACAAATGCATAGGTAAGCTGAAGACTCAGAAAATCCTTGCCAAATTTCAGCAATCTCTCATGCTAAAATTTCCCTTCTAGTCACCATGGTACTGGAAATCCTACAAGGACAATTGGGCCAAAGGGATAACAAGCATACGAATAAAGGAAAAAAGAAGTGTGTGATATTTAACTGGTTGTGTCATCTTGAGTAGAAAACATCCAGCTACACTGGATCAGCACAGATCTGGATGTGACTGAAGGGATTTACTGGAGACAGAAGAGCCAGCCTGGATGTGAGTGGTACCAAGGGTGTGAGTGGTTTGTTGTTTGAAAGGAATAAAAGGGAAACAAAGAAGGAAGGATGATTTCTGTTTCTCCAGAGAGGTTCCAGTCTTTACTTTCATCATGGAAGTCATCTCCTGGCTTCTAGCATCAACCCTTTGGCCTCCTGATAGGGACTCTCACAGGACACTACCGTGAGCTCCTGGCCTTAGCTGGAGTCTTCCAATCTCTAGTACACAGACAGCCCCTTTTCACTTTTCCACACCTGGCCCTGCAAGCAACCTTTGTAAGCCAATCTTGTAAATTGTTGTATGTCTTGCATTAAGTCTGTTTTTCTAGTAGGCATAGACTGATACGAAGTGAAATTGTCTTTGTTTCCTGATTTGTAATTGTAAGATCAAATTCAATGATCTTATAATTCTGTGAAGAAAACCTAAAAACTGTCTCTGTTAGAAGTGATAAACTCATTATTACCAAGAGAGTAACTACAGCATGGTGCAGACACAGAGACTCATACACCAACCCAGGAGAAGGTCCAAGAATAACAGTGCACTTAGATGGACTGGTGCTCAACAAAATGCCCAGAACACGTAATGGAGAAAGGGTGGTCACATCAGGAAGTATAACTGGGAAGCTCTATATTATCAGGGAGAAAAAGGATAAGTATCATCAAGGCTGTGGAAAAAGGGGAGCCCTTGAATATAAATGAGCACAGCCATTGCAGAAGACAATATGGAACCTCCCCAGAAAACCAAAGTGAGAATCACCCTATGCCCCAGTAACCCCACATCTGGTTGTAAGATTACTGAGCTGGAATCAGCACATTGAACGCATGTGCACCACCATGTTCTTTGCAGCATTGCCCACAACATCTGAGAAATGGTGTGCTTCAGCTCCTATCTCCACCATTGATGGAGGAAGACAGTATAAGGTGAACACAGCACAGAACACTGCCCAACCCAAAGAAGAAGGAAATCCCGTCCTTTGTGACTGCATCGGTGAACCTGCAGGATACCATGCTAAGTGTGTAGCTCGGGGACAGGAAGAAAATTCACACACTTTCACTTTAATGTACGTCTACAAAGATCAAATGTATAGGAGAGAGCAGAAGCAATACCAGAAGCTTATAATTAGAATATGGTCTTTAGGCATTATTTTAGGCATAATTTTCACACATTTAAATGAATAGAACTTAAATACATCCAATGACATTTAACAAATATAATCAATCTTGTAATACAATCTAGCAGCTAGATTTTTGTGGCAAATACACTGTACCCCAAAACCAAAATTAGCGAGAAACATTTATTCATTTGAAAAATTATCTCCATATAGTTTTCTTCATCCTGCTGCAGTATGCATTTGGTTGAACTACAGAAAACTATTTCTTTGCATTGATGCATGATTAGGAAGGAAAAACTGTATTTCAACCGTGCTTTCATATGATTTCTGATATTTGTCATTTATTCCATAGTAACACAAAATATTATTGATTTATTGGAGAATAAATGAAATTTGTAAGCTGAAACCCTGTTAGTGAATTTTTCATAGTCTGATTTAAATTTTTAGGCTTCACTATGAGTCATGCATGATTCTGTAACATCCAGTACTGGTCATCTGGAAAATACCAGTGCATGGAAGAGAAGCCACTCTCCCAAACAGCACATGTGACTCTTCCCTGTCAAGATTTCTGGATTTGCTGTAGTATAAGTAAATTATTTTATAATCAGATATGAATTTGAAAATGTATTGACTATGCTGTGTTATATGAAACATTTTTGGATGCTTCCATGTTTAATATTTGTGTATCACACAAAATCTAGTTCTTAAGAACTCTGTTGGAACTTTAAATAGTCTCAATGGTACAGCCAGGAATCCTCACCAATAAGAATTTAGAGGAAACGTGGCCTCATTGGAGACTGGAATCACCAGGCCTCCAGAGCTCGTTAGAAATGTGGCCCCCACATGTCCTTGGGGAACTCTTACCAGGGTAACAGGTGTTTCAGAAGCAGAGCTGCATGCATGGTCCACCTTGGCAGTCTCACTGAGAAGTGAGTTTATATTTCACTCTCTGAAGAAACAAGTAGGAGCAAGGATTTCGACTCTCCTCATGTGCAAAAGTAATATTCCTCATAGTATAGTTAGACTCATTACCTCACTGTTCAGGTAAGACTTTATTTATTGATGCGTGTGTCTCTATTGACATTAGAAATGCACAAATCATACACAAGCACCTGATAAATACTTTAAAATCTTAACCCAGTGTAGCTATTTCAGTTCCTTATGTTCTTTGTGTGTTTGTAGAATAGACAGATCCATTCCGATTCTAGAGTTCATGTCAGGCTACTACTTCTCAAATGCTCTCCAAAGATCTGTGTTTCATACTTAGTCGAGGTCAAAGACAGAAAACACAGTGACTGGTTATTACTTTGGAATAGAGGATCACTCCATGCAAATTCAGTATTTTCTTGATGTGGAGTTAAAAAGGACAACTAAAAAAAAAATCTATAAGCTCTTATGGGGAATTTAAAGCAAATAAAACCACAAATAGTCTTTAAATTGGTAAAAATGTTGAAATATCTAGTATTATTATTAAGGGCAACCTTTAACAATAGTTGCATTTGTAACCTATTACAATAATTATGCTAATTCCTTAGATATATTATTATCTATCACCTATTTAATAATTTCCAGAGAATTGGTATGCAGAATCATTCTGTTGTCCACATTTTAAAATGTGAACTAAATAATTTGAAAAATACTACTGAGAAAAGAAGGCGATGTATAAAGGAAGAATTCTTGGATTTTCTTTGTTTCACTGGGTCACGATGCTTGTGAAGAGTAGAAATTTAAGGTGAATTTAGCACTCACTACATGTAATAAGGAGAGATAGAGAATGGGAAAGAGACTTTTATGGTCCATATCTGTTATTTTGAAAGGAAAGTAAAAGTAGGCATAAGTATAGTCTTCAGGAGTAACCTACCAGATATTGGCAGTATGAACTTTATCAATTACTACTCATTTTGATAGCAACTTTCTTTGCCCTAAAGACTTTCTTCTCCTTTACAAAAATTAAGCAAACAGAAGGAATTATGGGTTATTATTCAAAGGATTATCAGAGAAGTCAATTAATATAAAATATTCTGTAAACAACTGGAACACCATATGAATGTGTAATTAAGCAAATAATTATTATGTGTGGGAAAGAAGGAAAAATTACAAATGGTTTTGGAATATCAAAATACATGTATAGTATTAACAAACATATAGACTAATATTTTATGTATCCATGATATTTCAATTCTTTTTCTCTCTCCCATTTTTTTTTTTTTTTGGTACTGGGAATTGAACTCACGACCTTAAACTTGCCAGGCGGGAGCTGCACGGCTGAGCTATGCCCCCGGCTCATTTCTATTTCTCAACAATGACAATAAAATCATACTGAGATTATCTCTCTATATAACTAATTTTAGTACTGAAAAGATAATCTCTAAGCCAATTACTTGTGATTTTGAATGCTTCAAAACAAGTGTAGACAAATAAACATAATAATTGAGAAACAAGTAGAGGGCAGGTCAGGAGAGAAAACTGGCACCTAAACATATATTAGAATCCGTGCCCAGCAGAAGGTTGATTTTTGGAGGAATACTTGAAGCAGGTTATTTTGTTTATTTGCTTAATTGTTTCAAGATAAAATCTGCAGATGAAGAAGTACAAGATGGGAACAGGCCATACATTGCCAAAAGGAAAGTAAAATTTTTATGACCTGAATGAAATTCCGTAGATGATGGCATAAACGTGGAAAGGGTTCTCACACACACTTCTTGAAAGCACCTGAAGTGAGAGAATGGTGTCATGCTTACACTAGATGGACAGTAATAAGATATCTATCAGCGTTTTGGGAAAAGAAAGAGAAATATGCACATTCACTGGATGTCAGGATGCTTTATTTTGAGTTCCTGACCAGAAGCCACACAGCAGTTCTAATGGGTACTCTGTATTCTGCTTGTAGCACCCTCTGTTTACTTTAATTCTGACTCTGTAGAGACCACAGCAGGTTGGCTGACATGGACAACCTCACCATCTTCACAGAATTCCTTCTCATGGATATCTCAAGCTCCCGGGAGCTCCAGGTTCTGCAAGGTGTGCTGTTCTTAGTGATTTATCTGGGAGCACTGACAGGGAATCTTGTAACTGTCACTCTCATCGTGACGGACACACATCTGCACTCTCCCATGTACTTTTTTATAAGCAATTTATCCCTCCTAGACCTTGGCAGCATCTCAGTTATTGTTCCCAAGGCCATAGTAAATTCCATGACTGACAGTAAGATGATCTCCCTGACAGAGTGTGCTGCACAGATTTTCCTCTATATCCTTTTTGCAGCTGTGGAATTTGCATTCCTGGTGGTGATGTCCTACGACCGCTATGTGGCCATTTGCCACCCCCTGCACTACGGACTCACCGTCACCCCGAATCTGTGCTCCCAGGCCGCAGCTGGCTCGTGGTCCTCTGGTCTGGTCTACTCCGCTATCCACACAGGCTGTATGTTCAGGCTTCCCTTCACCAAGACCAATGTGATCCAGCAATATTTCTGTGATATTCCTCAAATTCTGAGGATATCATCCCCAGAGGTCCAGTTTTCTGAATTTGTGATCATTGCAGTAAGCATTTGCCTTGTGCTGCTGTGTTTCTCATTTATGTTTATGTCATATGTTCACATACTTTCAAATGTGCTTAAGATGAATTCTGTGGAAGCCCGAAACAAAACTATATCTACCTGTACCCCCAGCTGGTCATTCTCCTTTTGTTTGTCATTTCTGGGGCAATAGCAGTTTTAGGTCCCACTGCAAAGAAACCATCCCTTAAGAACCTGCTAACGGCCATGTTCTACATTGTGGTGCCCCCATTCATGAACCCCATCATCTACTGTCTACGGAACACAGAGATTAATGCTGCGCTGGGAAGAATGTTCAGCAGATGTTCTCAGTTCTTAGTCAAGGGTTTTAGTGACTAGAACATACATATTAACATATCACCTGAAAATGATTTAGTTTATCTTGTTTATATTCTTACATTAGAATCTACATGAGTTATCTATCGTAGTTGTCTCAATTTTTTTGTCTGTACTTTTCATAAGGAAGTAAAAATCTATGTGTCATTTTTCTTTTTTTTTTTTTCCTCTGGTACCGGGAATTGAACTCAGTACCTTGCACTTGCCAGGCAGGTGCTGTGCTGCCTGAGCTAAACCTCCAGCCCCTGTGTTATTTTTCTTACTGGGTATTTTGTATATGTTATATATTATATACCCATTTTCTGAGACACTAGACTCCCTTCTGCTCCATCTGCTAAAATGCTTTTGATTCACTCAATGAAAATTAGGACACAAAACAACTGACCTTCACAAAATTGCAGTTTGGAAGTTTTTGGGTTTTCCCTTTATTCTGAATGAAATGATGCAGGCCACGGTTGATCCACTCAAACCTTGACTATAATGAAGAATATGAATTGGATTGTAGCATAGAGATAGGTGGAATGATAATAGCTATTGAGATTTACCTGGAATGTGGGAGATAAGGCTGTCATGTGTGGTACATTTTTCTTATCAAATAGTGCATACAAATGGATTCACTCATCACAGAAACCATTTCATTTTGCTGCCTCTGAAGAACTGAACCTGCATCCTAGTGGTTAAAATGCATATTATTTTTGTGTCTCAACTGAATCACAAATTCTTCAGCTATTTCATCTAGAAGCCCTGTCTGGAAAAACCTTGGCATGGAGGCACTGGTGTCCAATTCCCACCAGTCTGATACTGGAGCAACAGGTGCATCAGGCTCCCTGCATCTCTTACTGTTTCTCACAGAAGCAAGTAGTGTTTGGCACCATGGACAGGCTGTCACCCAGAGCTCACATCCTGGTGCAGGTCTGGATGTGGCTCACCCTCCTCTGAGGCCTGAAATCTTTGAATTTCCATGTTTCATCACTGAGGTGTCTATATCTGTTCTGCAACTTTATCTAGGTATAGGTGACAATTAAAGCTGTGTGTATGTAAGGTGCAAAACTTGATTTGATTTCTCTATTCTTAGAAATATTATCTCATTCAAGCTAACTAACATAACCACATTTCTTTTCAAAGTATGCCTGTACCATGTCATTTACATAGCTGTTTTCAATGTAAACATAACTTTCAAATTTATATTTAAATAACCCTCATACAAAAGTAAGGTGTTAACAATTCTGAATTTTTGAATGTTGGAACATAAGTTATTTTTGTCATAATAATTTCTATTTTAATTTTGTATTCATATTTTTGTCTAGGTTTATTTTCCTCCAGATGTCTGAATAAACAAGAAGACTGATTTTTAATTTCCAGGGTTAAATCACAAAATTATGTCACTATTGTTCTTCTTTTTGTCTTTCTACATAGGATGTATTATTTTTATTAGTGGTTTCATAAAATTCTATATTGCCATCTTTTTAATGTATTTTCAGCTAACGTATCATTATGAGTTAGACTATTTCAATCATGAAACTCAAGCATTTTCTCATGGGAAATTTTACATTTCTAGATTTTTTTGTTTTTTAGTAATTTTCTTTATTAATCCATTCATTGATAAATAGCAATTATTTCTAATTATGGGTTGGAGTGTGATTCTTTATGTTTTACAAAATAGAATGTTTAAATGAGGCAAATTACCTGGAATCACTTATTATTCTTACCATTTTTGGATGTGAAGCACAGAAAATCTTTTTTCTTCAGCAATTGAATAATATACAATGCGTCACCATTTTGTGCAATTGATGACTGTCATGGCGTGCATCTAGATGCACCCCCAAACCCTCACGGACTCATAGGTAGGGCTTTTCTGAGGTGACTGGATGTAGGATATGTGATGATGGGAGTACATTGTGTGATGCTAGGATTAAGGGTGCCTGATTACTAAATTGGTCCATTGATTGGGTAAGCACGTTTCTGGGTGTGGATAATGGGAAGGCCCACCCTGGGTGTGGGTGGGTGGCATAATCCAAAAGGCAGGTAGCCTGGAAGTGATCAAAGGGAGAGGCTTCTGCTTCACTGCTGGCCGCTTGCTGCCTGCCATGGATGGTTTCTCCTTTGCCAGGTCTCTCTGCCATGCCACCCTGCCTTGGAACCAGCCAGCTACAGAGCTGAAATAAACCTTTTCTCCTTAAACTTTGGATGTTGAGTATTTTGCTTCAGCCATGAGAAAAGTAATGAAGACAATCACTAAATCTTGTTCTTTCTGTTTAATTGAAAATTTGTACACTCGGTCAGTATCTCCAGATTCCCTACCTAATCCCTTCTGCTACAGTCTGGTAACATTAACTTTATAGGTATATGAATTCAACTTTGTGAAAGTCCACATATAAGTGAATCATGGAGTGTCTGTTCTCCTATGCCTCCCTCATTTCACATAGGGGAATGTCCTCCCGGCACAGCCATGTTGGGGCACATGAAAGGACCTCCTCCATTTTTGAATGGAATAGTATTCCATCTGTTATAGATGGCATATTTTCTTTACTGTCATTACCACTATTAAATGATCTGAAGAAATTATTGGGGGACATTAATTGAATTCACCCCAAATCAGGAATACCTTCATATCAGCTAAGTAATCTACATAAAACATTGTAATGAGATCCAACTTTGAATTCTCCTCCTACCCTCACACCTGAGCCCCCTAACAGCTCCAGGTAATAGAAACTCCTTTGTAAATAAGTGTTTCAAATTAGTCTGACTGTGCCTTTTATGCAAATCATATTTCCTACTTCTCACTCTTGTGCTGAACTTTTGGTTAAATAGTGAACAATAAATGTCAACCTATTGAATGGCTTTATCTTCCTAATCAGCTTTAAAAAGTCTTCAGGCATATGCCTGCCAAACGGCTAACTTAATTCAGAAAGCCCACCACTGCAGTGTACTGCTTTTAGGATTTGACCCTGATCTTATTGTCCTTCCCGTTAATATTGTACAGCATACTCATTTGTTGCAAACTCCATTTGGCACTTAGCCCTTGCAGATTCTATTGCGTTGGTTGACAATCATTATCCTTCTGACAAATTTGTAGTTATATTGTCATTATTCATTTATTTTACCCAGAAATGCTCAGACAACTCTGCTTATGAATGCTTCAGCTAATTTTATGGATGGATTGTTTTTGGTTTTGTTGCTTATTGGATTATGCAAAATCACTAGAAAATTGCTACCCCTATACTTTCAGCTCAAAGGTCAGCATTTATTGCCAAATTTCCTTATTAGAATGTACTCTGACAGAACCTGTTAGCATCTTATGTGAATTTGCCAATGTAGTTAATGTGACTAATCATTTGGAGACAGCCTCTATAAAAAGCACTCTACATCCCCCTCAGTTTATTTTTGTGATTCTGGGCAGTGATTTGGAATAGGCTTTTTATATAGGTCATGTATGGTCACACTCTGGCTTTCCGTGACCAACAGAAGGAAACCTTCACTACAGTAGACTCATTGCCTGAATTTTTCAGACGAGGTTTTCTCATTCTTGCTTTCATGAGAACACTAGAGTCCTTACCTCCGCATTTAAACATTCCAGATCACAGGCAGGCCACACTGCACAATCTTGTCCAGCATGCCAGACTCTATCTGCATCAATTCCATCAGAAGCCTCCAGGCAAATGAGTTACGGCAAATGATGTAACACGTATATCCCATTTTGGCAGACTTCAGTATGTGCATGTTAGTATAGATGCTTAATGTCATTTTATGCCTGCTACCTACCATGAAGGTGAGACTGTGGGACATACGCAGCAACACAATCTTTCAGCATTTGCAAAGATGGGAGTTCTTGATCCTGCCTGTACAAGTGGGAGCTTTCGAAGGATTTTTGCAGGAATGGAATGTTAGTCATTCCACAGGAATTCCTTATATCCAGAAGGATAGGCCATTGTTGAGCATTCACACTTAATATTAGAATGGCAGTTACAAAAACAAAAAGGGGAATAATAAGTCTGAAGCCATAAGATCGCCTTGAATTTGTAATGTTTACACTTAATTTTTTGAATCTTGTTGGTAATATAGATAGCATCCTGTAGAATTTCATCTGTCAAAAGTACAGGAGCATACTGGAAGTAGTGGCACATGCCTGTAATCCCAGCCCTTGGGAGACTGAGGCAGGAGGATTGTTGTGAGTTCAAGGCCAGCCTGGGCTACAAAGTGAGCTCAAGGCCAGGCTGAACTCCATAATGAGACCCTGCCTGAAAAAGACAAAATAAATAAATAAATAAAATAAAGTACAAGATCATGGGAAAAGGGAGGAGGTGCAAGTGTTGTGGCTTCTGGAGATCAGAAAATGGGAGGGACCAGTTATCTGGTTGGCATGGGGATGTGGGTTTGCTTGTGTCATTGCAGGAAAGGACAGACTGTATGGGGACCCTCTAAGAGCGTACAACCATGGAAAAGTCCTCCCTATGATGCATCCGTGGAGGTACTTGGCTCCCTTCTCCTCACCAATGAATGTCTTCCTTTAGATAACTCCATGTATTTATCAAGGACCCTTTAAATAGACCCTCTGTGGGTATCTCTGACTGCTGATCACAGCTACATCACTCTTCAGCCAGAAATTAGAGTGGTCTATGCTGATTACCCCCACATGGCAGTTAGGAGTACTTCGCCTGGAGTCGGGTGGGGTTAGTTATAGTATATGCAGTATAGAGCTGGACCCTTAAAAACCAGTACAGATACAATACTACTGTGGGTGGAGGTACAGTCATTAAAGGCTAGACCTCAAGACAAATGGTATAAAATTACATTTACATACTTCCTCTAGGGATAAACAGCAGTGGTTTATATTCAACTGCTGTTATTATAAAACAAAAAGAGGGCGATGTGAGTACCAGATAGGAAGACTGAGGCCTTAGTGGCCTCCTCTGTGAGCACTAAGTAGAAAAACAGTGTGCAAGCGTGTGGACATTCTGCAGGTTCCAGGGAAAGGTTAGCACAGCTGAGATCCAGTTGTTTAC